TCATGGCCAAAATAAAAAGGTAGAGTGAGAGCGGATCACCTTGCCTTACCCCTCTCGCTCCCTTGAAAAAACCCACCAAACTTCCATTAAACGCGATGGATAAGCAAGGGGAAGTTATAGAAACCCAGATCCATCATCTGAACTTTTTAAGGAGCCCCATGGCTTTCAATACCTTAAGGATAAACTCTCAACTCAAACTATCGAAAGCTTCTCAGAGGTCAACCTTTATAGCACACTAGGAGATAAGGTCCTCCTAGCATATCCCTTGACCAGCTCCTGGGCTAGCAGCGTATTATCAACACTACAACGATCCTTAATAAAATCCGATTGATTTGGTGCAACTATATTTGAAAAAAAAAACTACGAGCCTCGACACCAAAATCCGAGTGATAGCCCTAATCACCATCGAGCAACAAGATATTGGACAGAACTCTTTCATACTGGATGCATTCATGGCTTTTGGAACAAGGTTCCAAGCAGTAGCATTAAACGTCGGGAGTAAGTAAGAAGCCTCAAAAAATGTTTGACAGCCAAAGTAACATCATCCCCCACAACCTCCCAGGCAACCATAAAGAATCAAGGGGAATAGCCATCCAGGCTCGGAACCTTTTCATCCCCTTGCTGAAAAAATGTCTTCTTTATTTCCTCCCTAGAAACTTTCACAATTAAACTCTAGCTATCTTCAGAAGGCAAAGCAAAACTGATGATATCCTTTAAAAGATCACTCCCACATCCTTCAATATTTTCATCAGTACGTAGTACCCACTAGATTAATGAAAAAATTTACAGCTTTAGCTGCCATTTCTTCAAAAGAATCAAGTTGCTGCCCAAGATCATATGAAGAACACGAATGATTTTTCTCTTTTGTTTAATCACAACCGAAGAGTGAAAAAATTTAGTGCATGAGTCACCCTCTTGTAATCATTGGATCTAAGCCTTTTGACTGCAAAATAATTTCTTCGTTGTCCCAAGATCCTCCAACTCTCTCCGCAAGGCAATATCACGTCTCAAACCCTCAGAGTCACGTCCATTGAGATTCAAGAACTGTTACTTTTCTAATTGTTGACTTTTCTCACCAACTTTGCATGAAATATTATCATAAAATTGAACATTGAAGGGTTTCAAGGCTTTCAAAATTAGGCAAATTAGTCTTATTCAAAAATCGAGAAACAACTTAGTTTTTGTCAAAATTGAAAGGAAACAATTAATTTTGATTGACACAATAATAAATATTTAGATATAAAGAAAAATCTAACGGATAAAATATACCATAGATCATTGAAACTCAAATAATAATTATGATCATTGAACTTTCAAAAGTTAAAATTACTATTAAATTTATGGAACTGCTACAAAATGATCACAACATTTTACTGAGTTGTTATATAAAGTTCATTAAACTTCGTCAAACAATTATAAAATGATCATTAAGTTTATCAAAATTTTACATTTATTATAGTGTCGCAAATACCATTTTATAACAGTTTAACACTTTAATGATTATTTTATAACTTTTGAAAGTTCAGTGATCAGAACAATTATTTGAATATAATTTAGTGACTTTTCGTAAGCTTTACCCAAATCTATTTTACGCAGGCCTTAAGCCTAAAGATTTCATGCGTTGACAATGTGGGCTGAAGGCTTGAAGCCCATTAACCTATAAACCGATCCGATCCATTTCATACTGCTATAAATAGACTTGCATGTACATATCTTTACGAATTGCAGTTATTCCAAATCCAGCTTCCAAGCCCAAGGTATTCTGTTTTCAGAACTGTTTGGGGAATCGAGTGAGAGTGGAAGCGGAGGGAGTACTGGTACTAATGCTTTTGACTTGGTTCGTCATCTATTTGAAGTCCCAAAGCAACCGGTACCTCCTCTTTCTCTTTTGTTGTGAATCTCTATTTGATATTTTGGGGATAATTTGACCATTTCTTTCTTCTTTTTTAAAGAATTTTAAGTTGTTTAGCCTTTAGCTCTGATGTAAACTACAAGTTAGCTATGCCTATATCTACAATTAAAGATTCCTTTTTGTTAGACTATGTTTGGATCAATGGAATATTGAATCTTGATAAAGAAGAAAATCAACTAGCTATTCGTGTTTTCGTTCTTTCAAGTTGTCTGCGTTTCTTTTCATTGGAATGTGCATAAGACAGTAGAGATATTTCCATTTAATGGAAGGCTTAATACTCGGTTTAGCCCGAATGGCACGTGATAAATGACATCATCGAACGTTTTGGGTAAATTGAGCCGAATGATAGTTTAAAGTACCAAATTGAACCAAAAACAAAGTTTAGGTGCCAAAGTGGAAGAAGGTATAGTTTACGGGCTAAATAACGAATAAAGACTTCATGGAATACTGAAGGCGTTGGGGGATTAGTTTATAGGATGAAGTTTATGCATTTCTTTTCATTGAAGCATGCATTAGATTTCCCTTTAATGGAACATTGGGGGCATTGGAGGATTGGTTTATTATAGGAATGGAGTCCATTTATGTTTTGAAATGTTTCATTGGCAGACTCCCTCCAAGCATTTGATTACAAGGAAAGCTTGGGAAAACAAGTTGAATCGTGTTGAATCAGGAAAGAAGATATGAATAAATTGGTGATGGATTTTCTTGTCATCGAGGGTTTTGCAGATGCTGCGGAAATTTTCCGAATGGAATCGGGAACCGGCGTATCCTGCAAAGGAAACAAATGCTTACTAATGTTCTCTATTAGTAATGGTTCTTAAAGTAATAGTTTTGCGTTCCTTAATGTGGAACAGTTGTTATTGATCCTGCAACAATCACGGCTCGCATGGCGGTTAAAAGGGCTGTACTATGTGGGAACCTCGAGGAAGCGATCGACAAAATTATCGGTTTAAACCTCAAGGTAAGGTGTTTGATGGAAATGCAAATGTGAGAGACTTGCTAAAACTGTTGAAATAATCAGTTACTTGTCCAAGGAATGCAGGCTCTTTTTCATATTGTTGATTTGTTGATACCATACATCTTTTCATTTCAGATATTGGAAACACATCTTGGACTCCTTTTCCTTCTCCAGCAACAGAGATTGATCGAACTGATTCGACACGGAAACGTAGAAGCAGCCCTGGAGATTGCTCGAGATGATTTTGCTCCTCTGGGAGAACAAGATGTAATTTTCTTAACATTGTGTACGTTATAACCTGCATTAATCAGTCGTAGATAATACTGATCGGTATGTAAGATGACAATTCCATTGCAGGGAAGCTTTTATGAGGAGTTTGAGCGGACTGTTTCACTCCTGGCTTTCGAAGATGTTTCGAACTGTCCGGAAGGGGGGCTTATGGATGAATCACGGCGGCTTAAGTTAGCAAGCGATGCGAATGTAGCCATTCTCAGCTGCCAGAATCTTGGAAAAGGTTTGGTTGGTTGCTGCCGTTGTTATTCATTTTCATTTCTAGCCTCTTTTTTGCTTATAACCTTGTTTTGATTACTGGAATTCAGAGCCAAGGCTCGATGGCTTGCTAAAGATGCTGATGTGGGCTCAGCTTAAACTGGATGGAACGGCTGTATATCCTCGGATAAACAATCTTTGGAGCGCCAGACTCGAAGAGCCGCAGTTGGGCTGGGCTGGTTATTTGAAAGAGTATAGCTCGAAATTTGTTGGATGTCATTTGTTAGAACTTTGTTGTTAGATGAAGCCAGTGGCCTTATACACTTGCATTTGTCCCATGGATGGCAAAGCACATGTATAATGATTCTTTGAAGTAGTGTTGGACAACCTTACAAACTCAATGTTAGAGTAGAATCCAAAGCTTGCAAACATGGACTTTTTATTTGCTTATTTGGTCTTACACGTGTGTAGTATTTATCACGTAAGTACCTTTTTTGTTTTAAAAAGAGTGAGTGTAGGAAGTCCTCAAATATTTTAAAATATCACTTACACCCCTAAATTTTTTATGCATTCAATTGAACCCTTAATTCAAATAATTGAATCAATCAAGTCATCAAATTGAAATATTGTTAAGTAATCAAATATTCAATAGAATGGTGGTCACACATAAAACTCAGTTGGCACCCATCTCCACCCTAAGACCCCAAAATGGCATTAACTAGTTTAATCATTTCATTCTTTTATAAGGATTAGTACTAATTATGCATGCATTGCATTCACCATCCTTCTCATTAGTAGCACTAATTAATTTTAACAAATTTCCTAATTTGTCTTTGTTTATTACACAACGTCACTCCCCAAGTGTAAGGAAATCAACAAATTTGGTTCTTTTGGGAAAATTAGAGAGGAAAAGTATTTGGAAAAAGACAAGAAAACCTAAATCTCGAGGCTGAAGAAGGGGACCAAGCCGACACGTGAACACATAGAAGACAAAGGGCAGCTAAGTAATTATACTAGTCCGACAGGCAAAGTAAAATCCACCGTATCTTGGTAAGAATAAACACGGTAAAAAGGATATGCATCCTGAAACACACTGTATTCAGCTTCAAAAAAGGTGAAGTACACTAAAGGTCCTTAGATTATGATAAAATGATTATATTGCATTAAACTTTTAAAAAATATAAAATAATCATTAAATTTCTCAAATTATTATAAAATAGTCATTTTAATATTACAAAAAAAATTATTAAATTTATCATATCATTATAAAATTATCATTAAACTTGATTAAATTATTATAAAATGATCTTTTAATTTTATTAAAATTTTAAAAATTAGACATTAAACTTATCAAATTTTGTTATTATTAGATTTTGCGACTTGAATTCTATTTGATTTGACCAAAAAAATTCACAATATGATCAAATTGAGAGGGAAAAATTATGTAATAATTTGATGATAGTTTTATTATTTTTCAGTTTAGAGACTGAAATCATAGTTTAAGGACCAAATAGTGTATTTCACCCTAAAAAAGAAAAAATTTTAAAAAAATAATAAATTGATTCATTTTATTTTAGTAGGAAGCTACCAAGTTCACATCCAAATTTTGATTCCTAGCTTTTCTTGGTGGATTTGCGTTCCCAATAAATTTTTGAACTTTTTTTTATAAAAAAGTTTTCGATTTTCGCCCTTTTCTTTGTTGAATCTTGAGGAATAGTTTCGTGTGAATTTGATTATCATTGTGGTTCCGGTCCAGTTCCAGCTCCAGTTCCGATTCCGATCTCGTTTTGGATTTAGTTTCCTGGAAAATGGCGAAGCGTGGACATAAGCTGCGTATCCTTGAGCTTAATTTCTTGTTTTCTTTCTGTTATTGTTATAGTTATCGAAATGCTTAGCTTAAACTAGCTCCCGTCACTGAAATTTAATCAAGCTCGAAAGTTAGTTCTTGGCTTCTTCTTCTTTTGCAATTTTATGATGGATTTCAGTTCATTAAAAAGACAATATTTTTATATAAAGATGAGAATTTCAAGGCTTTTGGAGGGTTTTTATTGATTTTTTTTGATTACTCTATCCCCTTGACAAAATGAATGTAGAGGAATTTGAGGCTCATAATGCCAGTGTGAATTGTTTAAGTATGGGGAAAAGGACATTTAGGCTTCTTATTACTGGTGGAGATGATCATAAAGTTAATGTCTGGTCAATTGGGAAACCCACTTCTTTAATGGTAAGTTTCTCTCTTATACTTGGATTCTTTCCAAATTTAGCCTTCAAATGATTTCTCTTAGGCTGTGATTTTTTTTCGTCCCTTGAATTTGCATTTTTTTATGCCAATAAGAGTATTGGTGTTGTGGGATATTGAATACAAGAATAATGGTCTATCCTTGCGTGATAATGTGCAGAGTCTTTGTGGTCATACTAGTCCGGTCGAGTCTTTAGCTTTTGATCTGGCTGAAGTCTTGGTGCTTGCTGGTGCATCTTCGGGTGTGATAAAGCTTTGGGATCTCGAAGAAACAAAGAGTAAGTTTTCTGTTTCTCCTTGGTAGGCCATAATCCGAAGAAGCAGGGGAAACATGCTACCAAATAACAGTACAATGATTGTACTATACTGAATTAAAATTGGGTAATAATTAAGTTGTGCAATGCTTGATGTTGTTCTTGAAGTGTAGTGGTTCGCGGACTTACTGGACACAGATCTAATTGCACTGCTTTGGAGTTCCATCCATTTGGTGAGTTTTTTGCATCTGGTTCCATGGATACAAATCTAAAGATATGGGATATTAGGAAAAAGGGATGCACTCACACATACAAGGGTCATACTCGAGGCATTAGCACGATTAGATTCACTCCTGATGGCCGCTGGGTTGTTTCTGGTGGATTTGATAATGTTGTAAAGGTAACTAGAGGTTGCACCATCATCTGTATGAAATGAGCCATCGGTTCTATTTGTCTTAATGTTTTATCCTGTCACTGCTAACAGGTGTGGGATCTTACCGCTGGAAAACTCTTGAACGAGTTTAAGTTTCATGAAGGACATATTTCCTCCTTAGACTTTCACCCTCTTGAGTTTCTCCTTGCTACAGGTAAGATTTCATTATGAGTCGGTGAGTTTGTCGTAGTTGCATTTCATTTTCTATATTGCTTGCCATTTCCATCTTAGTTAATTTTAGAATTCCTTAACCTGCTTCCCAAGATGGAATCTTTTCCGTTACGGTTTTAATCATTGATTTAGGAGAATGACTTTTCAGTCCATATCTCATGCATTTTAGTTTTTGCAAATAATCAAAATTCCACTGCTTTGATCTTTGTTCCTTTTGTCATTTGTATGTGGACATGTACTCAATATTTCTGGATTGTTTGCTCTCTTTATCCCTCTTGAAAACAGCATTTTCTTGGGAATATTTTAATTGATATGCAACTGAATTCCAGGGTCGGCGGATGGAACCGTAAAATTCTGGGATTTGGAAACTTTTGAACTGATCGGGTCTTCAAGACCGGAGGTATATAAGCTTATGTGTCTGTAGTCTGAGAATCATATTCACATTTTAAAGGAAAAGAAGAAAAAGTAAACAAAACTCCCTTTATCGAAAATAAACCTTTCTCCATCATGCTTATGTAAAATGCTTATGTTGCTTCTTTTTAGGCTGCGGGGGTTCGCTTGAATACCTTTCATACTGATGGGAAAACTCTTTTCTGTGGATCAGACGATGGTTTGAAGGTTTGAATCTTCCATTGTAAAACCGTTTGATTCTTATCCAAATGATAAAGCAAACTTCTGAATATTCGATGTCATAACTGTAGGTTTATTCATGGGAGCCAGTAGTTTGTCATGATTCTGCTGATATCGGGTGGTCAACACTCGGTGACCTCTGCATCAATGAAGGCAAACTTTTGGGTTGCTCGTACTATAGAAATACTATTGGAGTTTGGGGAGCAGACATAGCGGTACTTACAATCATCGTTTTCTGACATTGTTTTTCCTTTATATTGTGCCAGTTTGAACTCCAGTGAAAATACATCGGTCTTGACTTCCTTCTTACATTTTGTACACGTCTTAGCATATTGAGCCATATGGACGAAATGACCGTTCCGAGAAGAAATTTAATCTTGAGGGAAGTTATTCTTTGGAAAAAGCTGGGAGTGGCATGAGATCAACTTTGGGATCACGACCCCTATCACCTGATTTCGAGACCAAGGAAATAAAGAACATATATGTTGACAGTAAGTCCTCTTTTCTGCATCTTTTTTCACTTTGTTACCTTGGTCAGTTTCGAGATTGACTTCTCTGATGATACATATAAACCTGAAAGTTGCTTTAATTTCCAAATGTAAAATTTTTAAACCCTTTAATTTGGTAAGCTATATTTCGTCTGACATGATATTCGACTTTCCATGAAAAGCTGCTGGCAGTAGTATGATTGCTGCTCCGAAAGATGGCTCTTTGAACTCTACAAAAGTGGTCTCCCCATCGGATGCCGGTGAAACAAGTAATCTGGCAGCTGAGAGGCAGAGTCCTGGAATAGGAGTTAATGCTAAATCTAATGGACAATCGGGTAACAACCCTGTTGTGAAAGAGACTACTAATTCTGGAAAAGAATCAATCACCTTTTCAAGGACAAAACCTGGAATGTTGCTCAGACCAGCTCATGTTAGAAGACCATCAGTCAACAAGTTTGAGGTCGAAAAGCTATCGGCTGCAGTTGAATCGGAAAGGTTAGACAGGGCAGTGGATCTGAATTCTCGGACTAGGCTTGTATCGGAGGATGGATATAGAACATCATGTGGTGAAAAGGATTCAAACATCGAGACTGTCACAGAGAAATCCAAAGAGATACAATCACCGCAGACGCACTCTACTCAAGAAGCTCGTAAGTTTTCTTGTACACATTGCTTTTATTCATTTGCAAATCAGTTAAGGTTATACATTTGTGTATTATTCCATACCCTCGTTGTCTTTCTTTGGATAGTTTGTGGCGTATTTATTTTTTCTATATCTATTTTCAGGTAATGAATCCCTCGATCTCAACAAAAACTCGAATGTCAAATTTGTGAATGGAGGTTTGCTCTTTCTTTCCAAGTCTTCTAATATATTAAACCGAATGTATTTCGATCTTTAGCAATTTCTCCCTTGGCAGTGGCTGTTGTTAGAGGAAGAACACGCAGTCTGGTCGAGAGGTTTGAACGAAGAGATTTATTGAACAGCAGTGATAATCCAGTGACTGATGGTATACCTCCTGCTGCACCGGAAGCCGATAAAATACCATCCATAATGGTGAGCTTAAGTGTATCTTTTCTCGAAGTTTCAAATTCCGGTTTTTTGCATGACCGAGTAATATTTATTTTCATGTTCATGAGATTCCGCATTTTTGTGATTGAATTAAATTTATTTCTTGTGACAGAAAGGAGGGACAAAAATATCTAAAACGGAACCTATCTCGGCCAATGATACAAGTCCTGTCGAAAGTCTAATTTCTACAACGGAATCAGCTTCTGGCTCCGAGGGTGGCATTACTGGAAGTTCAATTCCTAGAACGGAAACAACCACTACTTCTGACCAAGTAATGCAGATTTTCATGTTCACGAGATTCCGCATTTTTGTGATTGAATTAAAGTTATTTCTTATGCTTTAACCTAACAGAAAGGAGGAACACAAATATCTAAATCGTCGGCCAATGATATAACTCCTATCGAAAGTCTAATTTCTACAACGGAATCAGCTTCTGGCTCCGAGGGTGGCATTACTGGAAGTTCAATTCCTAGAAGGGAAACAACCCCTACTTCTGACAGGATAATTACTGGAGATCGAATTTCTAGAAGGGAATCAACTTTCACCTCAGATAGGATGAATGCTCGAAATCAAAGTTCTCGAAAGGAATCAACCTTTGCATCTAATAGGATCGTTACTGTAAATCAAATTTCTAGAAGGCAATCAAATTCTGCATCTAGTGGCAGCATTACTGGAAATCTAATTTCTAGAAGGGAATCAACCTCGGCTTCTGATGGGATCTTAACCAAAAACCGAATCACTCAAAGCGAGTCAACTTCCATTTCGGATGGGATCGTTTCAAGAAATCAACTTACTAGAAATGATATGAGTAGACCAACTGGTTTAGTTACTGAAAATAAAATTTCTAGGGTGGGAATGAATTCTGGTAATGATGGGAATGTTACAATTATCGAAAACCAAATTTCAAAGGGTGAATCAATCTCTGATAATGATGGAAAGCTAACCGAAAGTCTGATGCAAATGCATGATGTATTCTTAAGTACACTTCGGTCACGCTTAACAAAGTTACAGGTAAGCTTCAGCATCAGTTCATAGATGTAATTGGTGGATGAATAGTAATCATTGCATGTTTTAGAACTTCTGTTTATTTATTTGCTTCTTACATGTTAGTTTTCTTTTGTAATTGTTTTTGTGGTAACTGGTAGGTAGTGCGGCATTTTTGGGAAAAGAATGACATTAAAGGGTCCATCAGTGCCCTGCGGAAATTGCCTGATCATTCTGTGAGTATTTATCGGAACATTCCATTTGTGTTGCTTTATTCTGCTTTTAAGTGAATGAGGCTTGTCACTTGGATTCTGCCTAGCTTAGACTTGATAACTTCTGGTGCAGGTGCAAGCCGATGTGATCGGTGTTCTCATGGAAAAAATGGAGATTATCACCTTAGATCTCTTTTCCATCCTGCTTCCCGTGCTTATCGGCTTATTAGATAGCAAAATGGAAAGGTAATTTCGGAAAATTAGAAGTGTTGGTTCTTTCGAAAACTCAGCATGAGACTTGATTTAGGCATGCAGGTTATTCGGTTTTTGTCTTCACATTTAGACAATGGGCGTTTCTACTTGTGATGCTCAATTGCTCTTCTGGATTGCGATATGAATATACAGGCATGTAAATGTCTCTTTGGAAATGCTCCTGAAGCTCGTAGCTGTTTTTGGTCCAATGATACGCTCAACTGTTTCAGCCCCGCATGGTGTCGGTGTTGATCTTCATGCCGAGCAGAGGTTCTGACTTTCGGTTTCTTTAACTATTTTTATCTGTTTGATGAAGCCACTATGAAGTATGAATTAATCGTCTTTCGAAATTTGAACCAGGCGAGAATGCTGCAATCAGTGTTCTACGCAGCTACAAAAGATTCAAAAACTTCTTCCACCACTTGCAAGGTAATCCGCTCTTAAGAGCAATTGCAGCCGACATCCCAATTGTAATTCGATATTCTTATCGACTATGTACATAGCACGGTGCTTACATCCTTCGAAAATCCGATAACATCCTTAAATCAGTATCTTTTTCCTTTGTGGTCCCTACAGGAGAGGCGGCACGGTAGGGAGAGGCGCGCAGGAATTGAATCTAGTTCTTCAAGAATGATGGTGATTTGTGAAGGCAGCCATATAAATCATCTGCGACCGAAACATGAAAAATGTGGTCGAGCCGAAATCACTTATAATGGCCATTTCGTCATGACCATGTCCGTATCGGGCCATACATCTCGAAGGTGAATGAAGAAGAGATGTTAATCTCCTATGTTTGAGGATTTGCTGGTAAATTCCCCTGCCATTCTTTAATTCAATATGGTGACGTTCGTGATCTTTTCTGTTAAAAATGCATGTAAGCATGTCTAAATATACTCTTCGGCTATAAAATTCAATGAAATGTCAGTTCCTTGAAATCTCTTCTCATACAATAAAAATACATTGCAATATCTTAAACGTAAGAAATCAAAATCGAATCGAATATTATCCGAATTGATTATTTACAAAAATGAAATGAATTCATATAATATATGCAGATATTTAAATTCGTTTGAATAATGGATATCTGAGATTGATCTGAATCAATACAAATGCTTATCCGAATCCGAACCTTATAAGAGAATCAGGAGGAAAAAATTCTTGAGTGGACGTCAAAACAAATATCCGAATCGCAATGTTCATACTATTACCATCCCTATTTGTGCTTAAGCAAAGTTATGATCGTCGGCAGCAGCGGCAGGAGGATTACTATAATCAAGATAATGGCAGCAATGATGGCATAGCACGTCCATTTCCTTGAGCTCTTCTGTTGTTCCCTCGCCTCTTGAAGCTGCTCCGTCCCTCGCCTCACGAAGGAGCTTGCATGTGCAACATTGCTTTCGATATCGTTCAGTTGATGACCCTGAGCTTCGACGAGCGCAGCCATGTCCAGGAATATCTGATGAAGCTCGAGCAAATTCTTTTCGATCTCCTTAACGGCGTCGTGTCGTTCTTGAATCTCGGAAATGGTGTCCATAATTTGACCTCTCCCTTGTTCCTGGATTGCCCTTTGGAGGAAGCTCTCACTCTCGCCGCTCATGATCAAATTCTCGATAGTGTCTTCGTCAGGTTTTTGTCCGGTGATGGTGAAATAGCGTCGTTCAACGGTTTCTTTGTACTCCGCTTGCATCCTAGCTCTAAAACCTTGGAAATCATCCATCATCGTCTTTAGCTTCTTACCCAACCCGCTAACAACCGAGGTTCGGGTCCTATCGGAGGATGATCCGGGTCCGCAACCTGGAGCGCTACGGGCAGCGGCATTGGATTTTTCTAGAGCTTCGATCTTCCCTTTGATGACTTTCACTCTTTTGAGAACCTGTTCGACATCGGCGTCCATTCGAGAACGTAGCTGTTTCATGGTCTTGGCATTGTGTGCCGTTTTGCATTCCTCGTTGGCTTCTTGTAATGCCTTGTAAAGCGTCTCTATAGTTTTCATGTCTTCTTTAACATTCTCGACGTCCTCGAAGAATTTGTCAAGGTTAACAGTCTCGGTTCCGGCTTCCAGGTCGTCCATGTACGTCTGTTGTTTAAGGTCCGTGTATTTCCTGAACGAACTCGAAATTAAATCGTTCATTATGGCTCAAACTCTCAATGAATTACAGAGAAATTTAATGAAAAGAGATGATGTTGGTGGCAATGGACAAATCAAAATTTCTTATTTGTAATGATTATTTTATGGTTGGGATTAGGGCTATCTTCCTCTACATGGACTGCTAACTAACTGGTAGTAATTAGCAATGTAGGAGGAAGACAGGAGAAGAAAACTTCCATAAATCGAAGGGAAACAAAACAAAGGGTGTTTTGCCTTGTTTTTGTAAGAAAAAAGAGAGATGAGAAATAGTTAATCTAAAAATAGAAAGGACCATTTACTTGGTTTGACATCCTCTCTTGTCGGACCTGGTCCTATCCGTTAATCAATCACCCAAAGCTAAAAGGAGAAGGGAAAATAGGTTATCTAAAAATGCAGTGACGGTGTCCTTCCATCAGATCAAAGAGATTAGATTTTAAGTTTTCACATACTATTATGTGCTTGGAAATTGAATTACAAAAAGATAGTGAATTTGTGATGGAAATTGACAACGTAAATATTATAACATATTCAAATATTGATTCAAAGTTATTACGTGACGTACGATGATATGACAATCATTATTATAACGCGATTAGCAAGTTATATTTGATCGGGTTTTCTAAAGAGGTCAAGGGTTCGACCACCGATCCAACCGCCTTCATATTGAACGGCGGTGGAGGATGAAAGAACGATAAAGCTATTTATGAAGAAAGTGTGACTGCATCATCTTTTTTTTCCCCATCACGATCCACTAAGCTATTTATATAGACTGGTGAATAATATCTCCTAGCCAATCATAACAGACTTTACAATCAACCAGCTGACCTAACAATATAACAAAACAAACAAGCAACAGTCGGTTACAATTCGACTATAATTGTGACCTTATACCCTAGTCTTTTTTTTCATATATATACAGCCGTGAAGAAATGCTGATGAAGATGTATAACCTAATCCGTAACGCCCTCGACACAAATAGTGCATTCAGCTTAACCGGTTGCTGATGTGGGTGCAGATGTTTTGATAGAGACAACTGCCGAATGGTCCCCTTCAGCATCTCGATGACTGGTCCCAAGACTAATACTGTTACTGGTTTTTCCTCCTTCTAAGCCATGACCAGGGTGTATCTGAGTGAGTTCTGTAATACTATTGTCACTAAAGTTCAACATACTTTGCTGCCTATGGTATCTCTTGGTGGTATCATGAAGCAATCTCATTGTGTTGCCTGAATCCGAACCAGATGACAGCTCTTCTTCTCGCTCAGGTCGGATATTCAAATCAATTTGGCCTTTAAAAGATGAATTTGAGGATTTTACTCTGTTAAGATCATCTTCTGAACCCTCAAAAACAACCTTTTCCGGGCTTGGATGACTGGTATTCCCTGCATTAGTGTAGGGCAGAGGATCAGAATCTAATTCTTTATCGGGCAACGAAGGTTGCTTCTGTTTCTTGCATGCAGTTTCTGCTTCTTTTTCCGACTGTTTCTTCTCACGGCGCTGCATGAGGGTGCGGAAGCGTCTCTTGATTGTTTGACAAACATTACAAGTACATGTCTGTTTGTGTTTGGGGCCCTTCCCACTCGGGGGCTGAATGCATACAATGCACGAGCAACCAGGTCTATGCCGGGGGTGCTTTGTTGTGGCTTGAGATGAAACAGGGAGAGCCTTGCCCTCTCCTGAGGTAGCTAGGTTGGCAAGAGTGTCCAACCCCTCCAAAGCATCTACATTTTGTGAATCGCAGTTAGCAGCCTTCGTTTTCTTAGAAACAGCTGTCAATCACAATCACAAAAACCGATTTGTCGGTCGCACTAGGAAATGAATCGAAATAAAAGAAACTGAATTTTACACAAAAATCATCTGTCAAGAATTCAAATTCATTCATACTTTCCAGGTAAGTCGTACAAAATGTAAGCAATATTTACCTGGATTACAGCGTGGCAACAGATCTTCCAGCTGTTCTGCGGTCAGTTCTTGAGCGGCTGAACATAAAGATCTGTCAACATGGAAAACAGAAATGCTCATACAAAAACTAATTGTGTTTTTCATTCTTTTTACAGGGTCAGCATTAGCAAAATGAAGAAAAAAATGCATGAATTAGTGCTTACCTTTCTGGATCCCATGAGTTACTGGAACAGGTCCATCTGTAAGGAAGAAGAGCAGTCGAAGGCAATCTGCGCCACTTAAAACAATCTTCACATTGAGCCCACTGAGTCTTTTCCCTGACAAGAAAGAGCAACACATTGGGGTTTGCATGGTTCAAGAATTATTGCATCTATAAGACAAGATAACAAAGTAAAAGATGTTCGGACTTCGCTTTCAAATTGACTTTACAAATTTTAATTAACCTCCCAAGAAACCAACTACAGTGAGTACAGCAGAATATTTCAATATCATGAAGGAAGGTAGAGATCTCAATAAATCCAAAAAAATGATCCAAATCACGGCCCAAGTACTAAATTGATAGTTTTTCCTTGGTTTAATAAAAAAAAATGTCCAAACTAATTTTTTTTCTCATTTAGGTGCCTAAACTGTTTTTCGATCAATCCAAATACCTAACGTTATAAATGTTACCATTTTAAGTTCATCGGTCGTAACAGCCGTTAAAATATTCTGTTAAGTGACACACGTCACATTTATATAATTTCAAAAATTTTATTTAGAAAAAAAAAAACTTAAAATTATAATTTATTTTTCAAAAAAAAAACTCAAAGTTTTTGGAAATCTTAAGAAAAACCCCAAAACTTTGAAAACCCTACTTTCAATATCAAAACTCACACCGGCCATTGCCCTTTGCCTTCATTGTCTTTGATCGAACCTCCACTTAACCACACATCTACCCGACGACCAATCATCCAACAAACACCCAACAAAATAGGAGCCGATAAACCCTAAACCCGACAAAGAACAAAACTGCAAATCACGATACCACGTGACCCCGATGGCCATCTCAACGGTAAGGAGGACGATGTCCAACAAGAGAGATGGCAAGGACGGCTTCGGCTACGAGGGCCATGGTCGCAAGGGAGATGGCAAACTTAAGGTTAGGGATTTTTAGGAATCTGGGCTTTTTGTAAGTTTAGAGAAATTAAGTTTTATTTAAATATAATAATATTTTTATTTTAAAAAAAATCAAAATTAACTAAATGCGACATGGGTCACTTAACGGAACAGTCTTTAAGTCCGAGACACTTAAAATGATAACGTTTGTAACGTTAGACACTAGGATTGACCGAAAGAAAGTTTAGGCACCTAAATGGGAAAAAGGGTATAATTTGAGAATTTTTTTTATTTTAAGCTTTTTAACATAAGCCAGAGCATCCAAAAGAAAGTGATCTACCCCAAATTATCAGATGCAAATATTGTTGGCCTCCCAAGAATAGGAGCATCCTGTAAAAAAGGAACACAACAAAATTAAGGAACACAACAAAAAAGAGAGAATTCCCAAGAAAAGAATAAACTTTATTGAATATATAAGTAACAATTTATATCAGTAGGCAACCAAAAATAATGAACACTCTCATACTCTAGCAAAATAAAACTGAACAGTCGTGACAAAAATAGAATCAAATATTTAACGATAGATTAATCTGAGCCCGTGGCAGTATTCATGAACAAGTAACAACAAAAAGGTTCCTGAGCAACCTATATGGGTCCATCAAGTGTGTATTGACTGTAAAATCGCCACACTTACAAGTAGAAGGCTTCCCTTGCAATTACTTACAACCAAGATGTTTCAATCACAACAGATAAAGAGCAAACAAATTAAATAATAGATGGCAATGGCATACCTCATATTCTTCAAACTCAACACCTTCAATCACTACAACACTGGGCACATGATTAGGAGGGGGGCGCAGCAGCCCATGAGCTTCTTCCCAAGTTATTTTCAGCTCTATGAGGTCTTCATTATCAACTCTTCGGTGCTTACTTTTTGAACCCAAACTGCTATTTTTCCTCTTTCTGGAAACTGCTGGTTTGGTTCCTGATGGTTCCTTTGCTGTGTGTCCTGACTTGTCAAATTTTGAAAATGAGGTTGGATCCGCCAGATCAGCCTGGTTGATTGGCAAAAAGCTAGGTATGAACTATCTTTTAAAGAAATAATACTCAATAATATCACTAGTTTTAGGTTTTGTGACACTAACATCTCCATGCATGGAAACTCCATTACTATTTTTAGTTTCACTGTCCTGCCAACAAAAACACATGAATGTATGTAAATCTCGCTTTTAGAAAGGACAACGGTTATAATGTTTTACCATGATTGAAGCATAAATGCATATCCTCATCAGATGAAATTAACAACAATTGGAACCAAATCACTTTTGCAACTAGTTCTATTGCATGTTATCTTAGATCTGGAACATACAGGTGCACAATCAGAACTGTAAATCATTGTGCAAGACCAACCTGCTCAGATGTTGATGTAGGTGCAGCCTTTCGGAAACCCATGACTAACTTCCCTCCAGGCTCTAACCGACTAAATGTTACTGAGGAAACAACAGTTACCAGTTTTGAAAGAGTAATAAATCAGAAAATCATGATGCAAGATCATAAGAAATAGCCATCATATCAGTAAGTACATAAATCAAACAGACAACGATGTAAAACACAATTGAAGGACAAAGAAAATGAATAGGGTCAGGGACGAGCATATAAAATTAAGAGGAGACAAACATATAAAATTTTAAGGGGCGAAAACATATTTTCAATAAAAAATACAAAGAAAATATCTAAAATATATAGGAATTTGACTGAATAGGGGTATAGCTAATAGGCAACACATAATAAAATTTGGGCCATCATTAACAGGTAAATCCAAGCGGCAATTAACAGAAACCATAAATTTTCAGAGAATAAAATCGAGGAGCTATAATTTGAACATGGCAAACTTTGGGCCTCTAGCACAAACTATTGAAATCACTAAATTTTTTTTTGTCCCACAAATATCAATTTGTTACCTATGTCGCCCGCTTGTAATTGCATGTCCTGTAAGCAAGGAGTAACCCCCTCTAAAACATACATTCTGCTATTATTATTGGGCCAGAAGCGGAACT